AACGACACGTGATGGTGGTGTTTCGCAGGATAGGGGGTCGCATCGCGGTATATGCCTATCGGCGTGCGTGCTTGTTTGTCATATACTGATGCGCGTCTCGCTCCTGTTCTCAGAGAGAATATTTTAGTTGCACCCTCTGGTGTCGAGTGAATGCAGAGGATGCATTGAGAGTGAAACGTGCTACGCGGTGCAGATCACATATCTTTCGCTTACATATCTTAGTATAGTCTAACTGCGCTACACGCTGTATGGGAGAGAGGAGAGAGAGCGCGCACGAGAGGGAAGGGAAGGATTGAGAGAGAGCGCGGGAGGGGGGAAGAGAGAGTGCACGAGAAAGTGAAGGAGGGCGGGAGAGAGAGAGAGTTAGAGGAGGGAACGGAGGGAGAGAGATGCAGCGCTAGCAGAGGGAAGTGAGGGAGGGAAGTGAGGGAGGGAAGGAGTGCGAGAGGGTTAGGGTAGGATGGATGAGAGCGCGAGAGGGGAGGGAGAGAGAGAACACGAGAACGAGAGGGGGAGGGGAGAGACAGCGCGCGAGAGCGAGAGAAGGGGAGAAGGCTCGGCAAGGAGAGAGGTACAGCGAGAGAGAGGAGCTGAGAGAGAGCACGCATGTGAGCGAGGAAAAGAGCGCGGTAAAGAGAGGGGAACTGCGTAGAACGAGGGTTCGAGAGAAAGAGAGAGCGGGGAGAGAGCGTAAGAGGGAAAGAAGAGGGAGAGCATATATAAGAGAGAGAGAGAGAGAGAGAGAGAGAGAGAGAGAGAGAGAGAGAGAGAGAGAGAGAGAGAGAGAGAGAGAGAGAGAGAGAGAACGCCTTTTGCATTCTCGTCTCGTGCGTGCATATTTGCGACGCATGCATCGAGGCAAGATTTGCGGTCATTGCGCTCATTGAGCTAATGGCTGCGTGGTAGGGCTGCAAATATTCAGTATGCTCTGCTCCATGCTCCCGTCTGTATGTAGCAACACGAACCACGGGTTGCACCCCTGATAAACGTCCCACAAGACTGCACAGCACAGATGTGCGCTTAGCTCCCTCGCTCTCTATCCCTCTCTCTCGCGCGCTCTCTCACTCTCTTTCTCTCTCTCTCTCTTTTTCTCTTTCTCTCTCTCTTTTTCTCCCTCTCACTCTCTCTTGCTCTCTCTCTCTCTCTCTGTCTCTCTCTCTCTTTCTCTCTTTCTCTTTCACACTTTCTCTCTTTCTCTTTCTTTTTTCTCTCTCTCTCTCTCGCTCACTCTCCCCTTCCTCCTCTCTCTCTCTAGTTTCAGTTCGCTAACGTACATAGTACATTCAAAGTAACTACGGCCCTGCCATGGGGAAGGTAGTGGATCTATTCACGTAAGGAATGATAATGAATCTAAGCTCTCGTTGGAATGTAAGACGCATTGTTTTTCGTGCCTCTGCGAGCATGCCACCATGCAGAATATCGAGTGGCTTGTGCGACCTATGATGAAGCAAGGGCAAATTTCTATCCAAGACCTAGAATTCCATGCGTCTACGCATGCGTCGTCGTCGTGATTTTCCCGTCGTGGTCATAACCCGGTTTCATAATAGCAGAAGTAGATAATAGCTACTTCTGATAATAGCGACCTATTTACCACGGGCTTATTATCCGCGAACCGATATTCCGCTTTTAGACTCATACATTCGTTACCGAGAATTATGCCAACAGATTTCAAACCCAACCCGATACTCGGCTCAAATTACACGAAACAGACGGCTTAGTGCATTGACGGTAGATGGCGCTGGCGTACGCTCACCAGCGACGCTGCTATGAGAACGTTCACCATCTCATTAGCAGATCCTAAAGATTTAGGAATAGGACTAATTCACAACTCTGCTATTATTGTGCTAACGAGTCTTTGCACGTCTCTCTCTCTCTCTCTGCGTGTCTACGTGTGGCGGGGGAGGCAAAGCCACGGCATATCGACGATGTACTGCTCACTATCTTACACCTGCTAGCGTACTTCCGTATCAACACATTCTCTGATATACTCTGATGTCAGCGCTATATATCTATCTCTTTCTATATATTCTTTGATATTCCATGCTATTAATCATTCCTATATATATATATATCAGGGGGTTAATAATGACAAATATGTCAAATTTGTTAATGTTAACCCCTGATATATATATATATATATATATATATTATTTATTCTTTGATGTTCTCTGATAATTACAAAGTATACAGCACTGACAGCATATCTATGATTTCTAATCTTGCGGCAGTAGTGTTCTCATCAGGTGAAACTCTGTGTGTCAACAAAACCTTGTAATAATCTATGATAGGTACCGCCGCTTTCTGATACGGCCGATATTTTTTTTGCGTGGAATGACATTCCGTACGTCGTGTGTTTGTGGCGCGGACGCTTCTGTACCGAAGACAAGCTGTTTACCCGGCTGGTTACCATGGTGATTATAGCAGCGCCGTTAGATGTCGCTGGGCCCTTTCTCGCTGTAGAGGCCGGTGCATGTCTGTAATGAAACAATACATATTATATATATATATATAGTATATACAATATATATTATATACAATATATATAGGCAGTGTGGCAGATCTAGTTTTGCTACGTTACTTAACACGGAGTACTCACACAAATGTAACGATGGAATCGGCGCGCCGTGTGTTTATATGTTATATTATGTTATGTTATGTTAAATGCCCTGTGCCTACTCGTAACCGAATCGGTCCACACAAAAACTATGACAATTAATCCACAAGTTTACTCTGGTATATATTTTCTGAAGATTTCTCGCTGAACTGATAAGTAACTTTATTATTTAACATGACTTAAGTGAAGCGACATGTGGCTCAACGTTTATACGTTTGCACGTCGTGTAAAAAAATCGGCTAAGATAAAGAGAAAAGAATAAGGATAAAAACAACAAAAATACAATCATATTTTCCCGCCGGTTTGTTTTATGTGATGTTCAAACTTCCGCCATACCTAATTAAATCTACTCTCTGGTCCGTTGTTGATAGACGATACGGTTTCAACTTCGTCATCATCATTCGCGGAATCGGATTCATTCACGGAAATGAGTTCATACTCGTGTATGTTAAGAAATCGCCTGCCATCAGAGATATCAATATCAAAACTTTCCCGTTTTTTTTTCCGGTTTGGTGGGAGAGTTTTTCGTCGGATTGAGGCTAAATATAGAGATTTGCTGGCTTGGATGTCCGCGACAGCAAGCAGCTAGGGGATGATCGCAGAACGTTTGGAATCTAGATGCCTTTTGTACTGTTTTTGATCAATAATGTTTTTAGGTTTTCTCTAATGGCACGAGCCCACGTGACCAGCGTTTTACTTTCGCAGTTAACCTATTGAGTTTCAATTACGCTAAGCTAAATGCACTTCATATTGAGACGTATAGAATAGTTGACGGGCGTGACCCTTTCACGCGCTGGAGAAAGGATTAACTTCTATTTCCTGACTTTTTAATGAAATAAGGAAATGTGTGCAGTCAACGTAGAGTCAAGCTATGTGAGCAAGGAAACGTGTTAATAATAGGATGCCTGCCTATGTTTGCGGGAATCGATGTTATTTGATGAATGCAGGTCGCGGGTTCACTGTTCAGCATTAATCCTCGATTGAAGCTCTTGCCTGCATTTTGCTATTTCATACCCTGTTGCTCACCGCCCGTGTGTTGTCATGTACAATGTAATTACCAGCAGGTTAGATGTCCGCTATACGATTAATGATTAATCGTTGACTCACGAGCGGAGAGAGAGAGAGAGAGAGAGAGAGAGAGCGAGAGAGAGCGAGAGTCAGGGGAGAGAGAGAGAGAGGGGGGGAGTGGGTCGTTAGATAGAGATAGAGATAGAGAGAGGGGAGAACGAGGGAGAGAGAGAGAAAGAGAGAGAGAGGGTCGTTAGATAGAGAAAGAGATAGTGAGAGAGAGAGAGAGTACAACATACAGTATTGTACGGGAATGAGCGCTATGTGGGAGGGCATTTAAAGTTGCGCCGATGGCAGTATCAGTAACATCAATAACAGCTGCGTTAACAGTAAAAAAAAATTGTTGCAGCAGCAGCAGCCGCCGCAGCGGTAACAACAACAACAACAACAACAACAACAACAACAACAACAACAACAACAGCAGCAGCAGCAGCAGCAGCAGCAGTAGCAGCAGCGGTGGCGACAGCGGCAGCAGTGAACATTCAGTTGAGAGTTGTCTTTTTGTCGGTCTGGTATAGAAGAGTGCATGACCTGATTTTTCTATTCAACACATGATACATGGATGTTCCTTCACAAGTAACTGTATATATCTTCATAAGTAATAATCAATAATCAATCATCAATAGTCAATAACTAACCACCATGAAATCGCTCCCAGAAATAGCTCTGATAATCGACTAAAACGTAACGATTGTCTGCAAAACAATAACAAATTCACAACAGATTTATAATTTTCATGATTGTCAACTCTCACGTACATCACGTCTCATTCACCGACGGCTTACCTATGTACAAGGCTACCTGCTTCATATGATATAAATCGTAATTCAAATAATATGATATGATAATCAATGATCGATGACGTAATCGATTCGATACGCGTGCGTTGCCAGTTTTGGAAATTAAGCCCCCCCCCAAGCGAGTCCAGTGGTACCGTTGTCAGAAACGTAATTAGTCTTAACATAAACTTTTTCTAATAGACCGTTGGTAGAAACGCGGTGAAGTTACGGAGTTTCTCATACGCATTGTGTGGAGGTCCGGTTTACTAGAATAAGCTAATGTTAACACTAATTTTAAGACTAATAACGTTTGACAACGTCCCCCCCCCCTAATTTCGAAGTTTTTAATTTCTTCAACATAACAGATAGCAAATCCCATAAATCCCAACCAGTCTAATGGGACCTAGCCTGTGGGGGAGTACGGGCCGCTATCTCCACCACTGGCCGCTTCGCTACCAGAGTTTGTGTAGCTGAGTGTAGTAATATTGCCTGTGGTTGCTTGCGGTTGCTTATGGTTGCCTGTGGTTGCCTGCGGTCAGGGAGTCACCGTCACCGAACCAACCTGCTCTGGGTGACAACGCGGTACGTACGCTGTGGCAGCGGCGTCATCGTAGGCTGGGATTGCAGCGCCTGCCCTCACTGAGGAAGACAGACTACAGGTATATCTGCCTACTTTATATACCTACCTATCTACATACCTACCCACCTGTCTACATACATACATACCCGCCTACCTCCTACTCCTTCTCTTGCTCCTGCTACTACTTTTTCTTCGTCTTCTTCGTTTTCTTCTTTTTCTTCTTCTTCGTCTTCTTCTTCTTCTTCACCTCCCTCTTCCTCTTCTTCCTCTTTGTTGTTGCTGCTGCTCCTACTCTTCCTCCCCTCCTCCTCCGCCTCCTACTCTTCCGCCTCCTGCTCCTCCTCCTTCTTCTTCTTCTGTCCTCGTCCTCTCTCACTCTCTCTCTCTCTCTCTCTCTCTCTCTCTCTCTCTCTCTCTCTCTCTCTCTCTCTCTCTCTCTCTCTCTCTTTCGCTCTCTCTATCTCTCTTCCTCAGCATCACGTATATATTCATATCTCGTGACACGGTGACGATGTGATAAGAATGTGATTATACACAGTGACACGATGTGATACTTCATCTTGTCTATGTTGTTTACAGCACTACACCGTTACACACGTGCTAGTGCGAGATTTACTTGTTTTTCATGTCCCCCGCGCGCGATATACAGGAGCGCTGGTCGATTTCATTCACATGAGGGTGATGCGGACTATAGCATGTGCAGTGTCGGTGTTGCTGCCGAGAGTGAGCGGGCGTCAAATCGTCATGTATATATAACGACGAGCCTGGTATGAATGGAGATGTCAGTATTTATTTTGATTAGTCGCTAATGGGAAGTACTAATTAATGGGCTATAACCATCCGCGTGTATAGCACCGGGAGAATACACGCGTTAGGGAATAATACCACGTCGTGTGAGTTGTCTTATTGCCATGTCGATTAATTATCACGACGAATTATAGTATTGTAATGTCATGTTGTAATGTCTTATTATCATGTCGAATTGTAATGTCTTGTTGTAATGTCTTATTATCATGTCGAATTGTAATGTCTTGTTGTAATGTCTTATTATCATGTCGAATTGTAATGTCTTGTTGTAATGTCTTCTTATCATATCAAGAGTGCATAATAGATAATCTATTATGCACTCTTGATCATATCGAACTGTAATGTCATGTTGTAATGTCTTATTATCATGTCGAATTGTAATGTCATGTTGTAATGTCTTATTATCATGTCGAATTGTAATGTCATGTTGTAATGTCTTATTATCATGTCGAATTGTAATGTCATGTTGTAATGTCTTATTATCATGTCGAATTGTAATTTCTTGTTGTAATTTCTTATTATCATGTCGAATTGTAATGTATTGTTGTAATGTCTTATTATCATGTCGAATTGTAATGTCTTGTTGTAATGTCTTATTATCATGTCGAATTGTAATGTTTTGTTGTAATGTCTTATTATCATGTCGAATTGTAATGTCTTGTTGTAATGTCTTATTATCATGTCGAATTGTAATGTCTTGTTGTAATGTCTTCTTATCATGTCGAATTGTAATTTCTTGTTGTAATTTCTTATTATCATGTCGAATTGTAATGTATTGTTGTAATGTCTTATTATCATGTCGAATTGTAATTTCTTGTTGTAATGTCATATTATCATGTCGAATCGTAATGTCTTGTTGTAATGTCTTATTATCATGTCGAATTGTAATGTCTTGTTATAATGTCTTATTATCATGTCGAATTGTAATGTCTTGTTGTAATGTCTTATTATCATGTCGAATTGTAATGTCTTGTTGTAATGTCTTATTATCATATCGAATTATAATGTCTTGTTGTAATGTCTTATTATCATGTCGAATTGTAATGTCTTGTTGTAATGTCTTATTATCATGTCGAATTGTAATGTCTTGTTGTCATGTCTTATTGTCATGTCTTATTATCATGTCTTACTGTTGTAACATGTGTTTTGCACGTGTTACATGAATTAGTCAGGAGGCTAGACTAGGGTTGTTTGGTGACCAGTTAGTCTGTGTAGACGCAGCGTCGCGCATATTGGGCGGCTACATTGATGTTACAGGGAGTTGGATAAGCGGGTTTTAGGTTAGGCAGTTTCTAGGGTAATTGTGAAATGGGGGTAGGATGCGGTCTGGGAGAACGGGTACATGAATGAGAACGTGCAAGATGTTTGGAGGAGTTTTGGGGGGAATATATAGAGGAGAGATGTAAGAGGAGGAGGAAGGATTCTGGTTCTGGTCGCGGAAGGAGGCACACGCGCAACCGCGCGTGTGCGCGGGTCTTTGTCTGTGTGTAAGGAGATGTGATGTGTGTAAGATATTAAAGGTTATACAGTTTACCACACAAGTTCTGGAAATGGATCTACTTCATCATTTCTACATGAACGCTCATCCCTGTTTACATTTTGGTTGCCGTGACAGTCCAAAACCTGGGTATCCCTTTGCGAACACAACGAAAGTTACTTTATTATATCGATCTACGGGCCAGTAACGAAACAGAGGAAGAATGACGGAGAGCGAGAGAGGGAGAGAAGGACGGAAAGAGCGAGTTCCGATGACGAGATAGGAGAGAGTATAGCCGAAACACTATATCGATCTACGGGCCAGCAACGAAACAGAGGAAGAATGACGGAGAGCGAGAGTGGGAGAAAGGGACGGAAAGAGCGAGTTATGATGATGAGATGGGAGCCAGACTGCGCTAGCGCCGACGACAATGACGATGGCGACGAGGATCGGCTGGAGATCGTGGAGAAGGAGGACCGTTGCTGCCGCCGCGTCGCCAAGGCTTGTCAACGGAGAGGAGAAGGACGAGAAAGGAAGAATAGATTCCGACGAAGGAAGAGAAGGATGCAGTCACACGAACGGAACAAGAACGCAAGAGATGAACGAGACGGAAATACTTAAAATGGGTGAGTGAAACAAACTGTGTCGGCATATAGTCGTAAGTAAAGTTAAAAACGAAAGTTTTAAACCACAGCGTATAATATACAAGGTGATAGTGAAATACTCAAGCACTTTGCCTGTATACACATGCACCATGTGTCTTATCCCTTATCCAAAAGGTGCAGGTTATGTTATTGAGATGCTTATTGACTACTTGAGGAGCGGAACAATATTTATAATAATGAAGGCCGATACAGTTGTTTCAGAAACTTACCTGACATTGTATGTATGCATGTATGTATGTATGTAGGTTTATGGTTGTTTGTATGTACGTTTTTTTTAAAGTTGTCGTAACGGTACGTTTACACTATATTGTCAGCCCGCTAAAACACATTCTTCAATTAGAGTTTGATTATAGGCCAAAAACATTTCATCGAAAATATGAAATCAGTTTTGCGTATTTTTGTTGGCTGTATATGATGTATGATGTATGATGTATGATGTATGATGTATGATGTATGATGTATGATGGATGATATATGATGATTTTTGTTGGCTGTATGATGTGTGGAAGTGACAAAGTACCACATCAGTGCTGTGTTTATTAATGCCCCTGTGTGCGTTAATGGGATTATGAGGATATAATCAGACTCCTGCTATAATGGGGCACATGGTTGGAAACGTGGTTTCGGTAATGCGTGTCGGTACACGCATACGCCACGATGGTTACAGCATAAAAAAGACGCAAGAGTGAGAGTAATTGCAGCGATATCAAAATGTTTACTGCCAAATGTGTGGAGATTCTGACTTGTATTGTGATCGAACTTTATCGTTACTTGTTTTCTACGCTTCATATGTGTTTTCTTATTGTATTTTGATTGTTGTTATGTTTGTGTATTGATTGTGGGTTGTTTAATCGGACAGAAAGACGTTTCTCTCGTTGGGTTGAGTTAGGAAGATATTAGGGTAGTAATTTTTTTGGAATTGTTTAGGTTTAGGTTGAAGTGTAGATCAGCGAGGACGCTGAATCGATGACAGGGTAGTCATCGTTTTGGGGAAAAGGGAGATAATGTAACATGTGTTTTGCACGTGTTACATGAATTAGTCAGGAGGCTAGACTAGGGTTGTTTGGTGACCAGTTAGTCTGTGTAGACGCAGCGTCGCGCATATTGGGCGGCTACATTGATGTTACAGGGAGTTGGATAAGCGGGTTTTAGGTTAGGCAGTTTCTAGGGTCATTGTGAAATGGGGGTAGGACGCGGTCTGAAAGAACGGGTACATGAATGAGAACGTGCAAGATGTTTGGAGGAGTTTTGGGGGGAATATATAGAGGAGAGATGTAAGAGGAGGAGGAAGGATTCTGGTTCTGGTCGCGGAAGGAGGCACACGCGCGTATGTGCGTGTGCGCGTTCTTTGTCTCTCTGTGCGATGTGTCTACACTGTATGAGATATTAAAGATGATTCCGGTTACAACACAAGTTTGACTTTATATCGTCATTCCTGTTTACACCGTCACATGTCTGCTTGCCATGCATTCTCGTTACATAAGGTAGAACGCTCTGCAGGGCCAGACAGACATGCGCTACATCTCAGCACGGCATGTTACGTAACGCTCGCACTCCCGTGTGTGTTCACACGCGCCCGCGCGCGAAATGTTTTTTCCAACGAGAGTTCCGGACCCCAGCCAATCAGCGCACTCCATTCACTCGACTACCTCGAAGCAACAATGCAAAATTTATACAACCTAACCCTAACCCTAACCCTAACACTAACTATAATACAACCAGGTCCGTCTTATATACGCACCATATATTACAAAACACTATCTGTGGTGGGTCCGGAACTCTCGTGGGAAAAAAAATTTCGCCGCCCGCGCACGCCCGCTCACCTTTGATATGCCGCGAGCCAGAAGGCGGGAAAAGCTCTTAGGACGCTTCGGGGCGAAACCCGTGATTCTATTAACGGTGATTTGCGAAGTGGCGCGTCTGTCTGTCATCGGAATATTCTAGAAACGCGCGCGCACTGGGGTATCGGATGCGCCGCTTTCGCAGCAGATTCCATACAGCGCTGTACAGTCACTTTTTTCGCACTGTCGCTGTTTTGCATCGCAGCATGAGTAAACAACCGGGACGCTATGCTAGCTATTCATATGTTTGTTGCCTGTGCGTCGGTGCGCGTGTATGAAAGTACGCGAG